ATATACATAAACAAATATGTTGGTTATTAAACATTTACTAACACACTGTTGTTAAAATCTCACACTCCATGGGCCTTGTGCTTTCAACTCAGATGTGTCGTTAACATTCAAGCTCATAGTCTCGCTGCCCTTGTGTAACCTTTCGGGGCGATTCACCACTGCTCCACACAGAGCGACTCCATGTTGGGAGGTGCTATTCCTCCTGCATGGTCTACTCATTTTGGGAGCGTGAAGGGCTGCTCTGTGTCTGTTCTCCCCCATCAGTGCAGTTGTACTGAGTGAATAAGCTCTCTAAAAAGCAAAAACAATACATCCTGAATGGTTATTGCTTCCTCACATCTAAAAAATGCAGACTATCCACTTGGGGCAGATAGTACATGGTCTGATTGGGGTAGGACAGGAAGTGATTCCAAGCAGCCAAAAAGAAAGTTTGAAATGCTCTGTGTACATGCTCATTATCACCCCTTGGGTGATTACAAAACTGTCTGCCATGTCATCACCATTTGCTATCCTGCCCCACTTTTATGAATTCCAGAAAATAAAAACAAATCAGAAAGTAACTGACCGCCTCAGCAAACTGTCCTTGTTTACATGTCATTACAGAGTAGCTATGGAGCAAGAAACTACCAAGGTATAATCTTCTGCAAGATCCTGGTCATCACCATGGTTATGATGAGCTGGAGTGATCCTAGTTAGGTCATTCTAGTTATATATTATTTTGGGGGAAATATAATATGTGATAATACTGAATACTACACATTGTATTAAATTCATTAGCTAAAATTCAACAATTCATCATGTGTGTTCTTTAAAACTAGAACCTATGGAGCCACTATCATCACACCCAGATGTTATACACTGAAACAAATATTTTTCTCTCTAAAGGAAAATTAATGTGGAATTTTCTAGAAAGACTCAGTACTACCTAATGAAATAGAAATGATGATATGAAAGGAAAACATCCTAAAATTTCATAGCTCTCTGGGCTCAAATCCCCAGTACTTGATTTCAGAAAAAAAGGCCTTTTTTACATGGAAAAGACCTCCCAGCACTGTGAAAGCTATCAGTGTACACACATGGCTTTAAAAGTGAAGATATCACCAATGATTGAAAGTGCCAGGAGTTTGCCCAGATTTGATATATATATATATATATATATATATATATATATATATATATATATAGCATGCTGAATGAGACAGATGGTGTATGACTATAATCCCAGCACTCTGGGCATCTGAGTTAAGGAGATCACAAGATAGACCAATTTTGTGACTTAGGAAGACTCTTAGTGTGTATCTAAAAAGAATATCTGAGGATATATCTGTAGTTCACTGTGCAGATGCAAAGTAAAAATAAGAAAAATGCAAATGTACAAAACTAATAGATGACAAATCGATTCACAGATACTTAGATAAAATAATAAAATAACTAGCCACTGATTTACTTAGCATGATGAAAAAGTTGAGCCATAGGCTTTCTTATCAGTTATTGGACCTCAAGTTATTGGACATAACTTCCTGGCAACATGACCAAGCAGAACTTGGAACCCTTGTAGAAGACATCACAATCCAGTACTGCCCACCTCCCCAGCTCATTTGCCTGGAGACACTCAGCGGAGAGGATGCTGAATTGTTTCTCCACATCCAGAGGCCACAACCCCAGGACCCCAGGCAGACAAAGTCTATGTCAAAAATTGAGAAAACGCCTCACACCATCCAGATGCCGCAGGCCAAGGTGTGAAAGGCACGCAACTTTCACAGTCAGCCCAGAGACGGTCTCCCCAAGTCCAATCAACTGTGAACAGCCAACATCAAGGTACCCACCCCAAAACTCTGTTGACTCAGGTACAAATGACACTGAAACCCAAAGGATTCATGGGCAAGTTTCAACAGGCCCGGAGATACTCAGCACCTCTGGACAGGTCTCAGCAGAGCTGGCAGCAGTAAAGTCAGACAGACCAAGATGTGAAAGGCACGCAACTTTCACAGTCAGCCCAGAGACGGTCTCCCCAAGACCAACCGACTGTGAACAGCCAACATCAAGGTACCCACACCAAAACTCTGTTGAGTCAGGTACAAATGACACTGTAACCCAAAGGATTCATGGGCAAGTTTCAACAGGCCCCGGGACACTCAGCAGCTCTGGGCAGGTCTCAGCAGAGCTGGCAGCAGTAAAGTCAGACAGACCAAGGTGTGAAAGGCACCCAACTTTCACAGTCAGCCCAGAGACGGTCTCCCCAAGACCAACTGACTGTGAACAGCCAACATCAAGGTACCCACCCCAAAACTCTGTTGAGTCAGGTACAAATGACACTGTAACCCAAAGGATTCATGGGCAAGTTTCAACAGGCCCCGGGACACTCAGCAGCTCTGGGCAGGTCTCAGCAGAGCTGGCAGCAGTAAAGTCAGACAGACCAAGGTGTGAAAGGCACCCAACTTTCACAGTCAGCCCAGAGACGGTCTCCCCAAGACCAATCAACTGTGAACAGCCAACATCAAGGTACCCACACCAAAACTCTGTTGACTCAGGTACAAATGACACTGAAACCCAAAAGATTCATGGGCAAGTTTCAACAGCCCCCGGGACACTCAACAGCTCTGGACAGGTCTCAGCAGAGCTGGCAGCAGTAAAGTCAGACAGACCAAGGTGTGAAAGGCACCCAACTTTCACAGTCAGCCCAGAGACGGTCTCCCCAAGACCAACTGACTGTGAACAGCCAACATCAAGGTACCCACCCCAAAACTCTGTTGACTCAGGTACAAATGACACTGAAACCCAAAAGATTCATGGGCAAGTTTCAACAGGCCCCGGGACACTCAGCAGCTCTGGGCAGGTCTCAGCAGAGCTGGCAGCAGTAAAGTCAGACAGACCAAGGTGTGAAAGGCACCCAACTTTCACAGTCAGCCCAGAGACGGTCTCCCCAAGACCAATCAACTGTGAACAGCCAACATCCAGGTACCCACACCAAAACTCTGTTGACTCAAGTACAAATGACACTGAAACCCAAAAGATTCATGGGCAAGTTTCAACAGGCCCCGAGATACTCAGCAGCTCTGGGCAGGTCTCAGCAGAGCTGGCAGCAGTAAAGTCAGACAGACCAAGGTGTGAAAGGCACCCAACTTTCACAGTCAGCCCAGAGACGGTCTCCCCAAGACCAATCAACTGTGAACAGCCAACATCCAGGTACCCACCCCAAAACTCTGTTGACTCAGGTACAAATGACACTGAAACCCAAAGGATTCATGGGCAAGTTTCAACAGGCCCGGAGATACTCAGCACCTCTGGACAGGTCTCAGCAGAGCTGGCAGCAGTCAAGTCAGACAGACCAAGATGTGAAAGGCACGCAACTTTCACAGTCAGCCCAGAGACGGTCTCCCCAAGACCAATCAACTGTGAACAGCCAACATCAAGGTACCCACACCAAAACTCTGTTGACTCAGGTACAAATGACACTGAAACCCAAAAGATTCATGGGCAAGTTTCAACAGGCCCCGAGATACTCAGCAGCTCTGGGCAGGTCTCAGCAGAGCTGGCAGCAGTAAAGTCAGACAGACCAAGATGTGAAAGGCACGCAACTTTCACAGTCAGCCCAGAGACGGTCTCCCCAAGACCAATCAACTGTGAACAGCCAACATCAAGGTACCCACACCAAAACTCTGTTGACTCAGGTACAAATGACACTGAAACCCAAAAGATCCATGGGCAAGTTTCAACAGGCCCCGAGATACTCAGCAGCTCTGGACAGGTCTCAGCAGAGCTGGCAGCAGTAAAGTCAGACAGACCAAGGTGTGAAAGGCACCCAACTTTCACAGTCAGCCCAGAGACGGTCTCCCCAAGACCAATCAACTGTGAACAGCCAACATCAAGGTACCCACCCCAAAACTCTGTTGACTCCGATACAAATGACACTGAAACCCAAAAGATTCATGGGCAAGTTTCAACAGGCCCCGAGATACTCAGCAGCTCTGGACAGGTCTCAGCAGAGCTGGCAGCAGTAAAGTCAGACAGACCAAGGTGTCCAGAAGTAGAGACTGATGTCACAGTGTCCAGCAACCACCAAACACTAAGAAACCTACAATATGACCAGCTGGGCCGAGCCATTATGGAGAATTACTTGGCAGGGAGAGATGCCCAACCCCACACTGAACAGACAATAAAGGCAGTAAGGCCTCCCTCACCCATTAAGCCCTGTATGCCAGTTTTCCTGCATGACCAACCCTTCTCTGACCCATTCTTCCCAAGTACCTCCATGGCCTACACCACCTCCCAACAGGCCCAAATTGTAGGTGGGGATAAGAAGACGACAAGCCTTGAGATTTTGTTTTCTTCTGAGGGCAATGAACTTCTAGACACCTGCTCATTTGGTAATAAACACCTCACAACAAGATGTGTAGATGAAAAGAGAGATCAATGCAATACGTTACCTCTGTTGCAATTAGAAGATCGATACATGCTTTCTGAGCTTAATACAGATTCTGAGCTGCTAATTCATACATCATCTTGTGCACCAAAGTATACTGAGGTGTCTTGTGTATCTGAATGTACTGAAGTGCCTTGCTTACCACAAGATGGAAAGGTGATTTGCATACCAGAAGATCCTAAAGTGCCTTGGGTGCCAAAAACAACTGCCTTGTATGTGTTTAGATCAGAGTTCTTGGGACTGTCTGCAAAAGGATACGGAGGCTCTCCCACCATCATTTCCAGAGGCTCCTCAGGTGTTTTGGGTACAAGAACAGCCTAAGACACCTTCTCCAGAAGATAAATCCATCTGCTGTAGAGCTTCAGGACACTTGAGAAAGGTTCACTGCGCTAACGGCCACACATTTCGATCTAAAAGGTTCAGTAAGCGTGCTAATTGTGCTGTCTGCTCAGACCCCACAGGGGGATTTGGACGCAAGGCATACAAATGTATGCACTGTAAAATTTTAGTTCATAAGAAGTGCCATACACTCGTCAGAGTTCCATGCAAGCACCATACTTTGCATGATGAATGCACAATGCCAATAAACCAGGTTTCCATGGCTTTAGATCCCAAACAGGAAGTAGTCTCACCAAATCCTAAAAGTCATGTGGGTATGCAAGAAATAGATGATGAGAATGAGACAAATACTGGTGAGGAAAATGGCAGGCCTTTGTGCTCTTCTGCTCTTAAAGACCTTGACTTTCTCCGTGTCCTCAGGAGAGGAAGCTACGGTAAAGTTTTACTAGCTCGGCATAAAACAACAGATCACCTCTATGCCATGAAAGTGGTGAGAAAGGACAATGAAAACCTTATTCGTCTCCAGGTAGAGAAGCAAATATTGGAGAAGAGCTTGAACCACCCTTACCTGGTTGGCCTGCATTCCTGCATCGAGACACCAACCAGATTTTTCTTTATCCTGGATTACATCAGTGGAGGAGACCTAACATACAATCTGCAACAGGTCGGAATCTTTCCCGAAGCACATGTGAGATTCTACTCCGGGGAGACCTCCTTAGCTATCAAGTTTCTTCATGAACATGAGATATTACACAGGGATCTGAAGTTGGAGAACTTGTTACTAGATGCGGACGGACACATTAAAATTACCGATTACAACCTATGTAAGGCAGGACTGAAGGCAGGCGAGAAGACCAACACTTTCTGTGGCACACTCAGTTATCTGGCTCCAGAAATCATCAGAGGCAAAAGCTATGGTTTCAGTGTGGACTGGTGGAATCTTGGAACAGTCATGTTCGAAATGATGGTGGGAGAGCCTCCGTATCCTTTTGCAGACAGTCCCAAGAACTCTGATCTAAACACATACAAGGTATTGCAATCTATGTTAGAAAGAGAAGTCCACATTCCACATCACCTGTCTGTCGAAGCCAGAAGCATCCTCAAGGGTCTTCTGAAGAAGGAGCCAGAGGTAAGATTGGGCTGTCACCCTCAGAGAGGATTCATCGATATTAAAGAGCATCCATTCTTTAACAATCTGGACTGGAACATGATGGGAAAAAAGCAAGTGCCTCCTCCCTTTAAGCCAAGTGTTGGTACAGAATTCGGGATAGAAAACTTTGACCCTGAATTTACCAACGAACCTGTCCAGCTCACACCTGATGACAGTTACTTTGTGAACAGCATAGATGAATTTGGGCTTTGAGTACATCAATCCCCTTTTCACATAAGAAGAATGAGTCTGATTGTCACCTTCCAGTTAAGCATCTGTTTGTATATCTAATGCATGACAAAACTTGTTACCAGCTTGCATTCAACTGACACTTTTATAATTGCCTGGAAGATCATTTTGATTTCCTTTTTCTATATGAAGATGCCCTGCTTGATTTTGGTTTTTGGTTGACAAAGTTACTTTTTATGATAAGACTTAACGATGAGGCAATTTCTTTTTACCAAGTTTGTAAACACATTCCATTTGTTGCTTGGAGACATATTCCTGATTTTTTTATTTACTATACTGGAAAATAATATCTCATTATGCTTGTTTTGCTCCCAAACTATATGACCTATATATTTAGGCCCCTGATTTTGTAATATTCAGGGAAATCCAAAAACAATAGTAACAACTTTGAACAACTCTGCAGAAACCACATACATTGTAGCTCTGTCTCCTAGGTCAAACTTTAACCATCTTAAAGTATTACACCATAAATATACTTTCTAATATTTAGTGGACATCAAAACAATAATGCAAAGAAAGTATTTCTCCAAATAAGGCTAAAATCCCAAAGGAGTTCTAATGTGGACTCAGTAGGAAACATTTTAAACAAATGCCTTGTGTGAGTATTTTACATTCTGAATGCCCAGTGGCAAAGAGCAGCTCTTAAAAGCAGGATCAGAAACATATGTCTGACATGTCAGAGTTCTCTGCAAGTTCATGTTGTGTACACTGATTTTTGTTTTTAAGCAAGATCCGAGTACTACCAGAAACACAGATTCCTTGCAAATGAACATGTCAATCCTTAGAAACATTTTCTTTTGATGTTTTCCTTACTTTCAAATTTAGCTATTTGATGGAATGATAAAATATGACTCCAAGCTTGGGAAAAGTTACATTTCTAATGAAATGGGGCATCCAAATAAAGAGAGAAAGATAACTTAGTAAATGCCTACACATTTTAAGTCATCCTAAATTTAAAACTGGATAGCTTGCCTAGAATTAAACATTATCAAGCTTGTGCCATTGTAACTTATTTAGACTATGATGGTTACTTTTCAAGTCCTTTGCACAGAGATGGCACTGAAACAGAGCAATGTTGTATCTGTCAACTCTTGAAATGACAAATTGCTAACTACAAATTGTAGTAAAAGTAATTTGAAGAACTCTGCCCCTGAAATGAACTGTACTACTATTTTTATTAAAATTCGTAGTTAGCAATTCATTATTTACACAGCTGCCAGATACAGCACTGATCTGTTTCAGTGCCATTTCTGTGCAAAGGACTTGAAAAGTAACCACCATTGTCTAAATAAGTTACAATGGCACAATCTTACTGAAGTTTAATTCTAGCTAAGCTATCTAGTTCTAAATTTAGGATCACAACATGTGTAGGCATTTACTAACATATCTTTCCATCTTCATTTGGATGCCCCGTTTCATTAGAAATATAACTTTTCCCAAGCTTGGAGTCATATTTTATCTTTCCATCAAATAGCTAAATTTGAAAAGTAAGGAAAACATCAAAAGAAAGTGTTTCTAAGGATTGACATGTTCATTTGCAAGGAATCTGTGTTTCTGGTAATACTCGGATCTTGCTTAAAAACAAAAATCAGTGTACACAACATGAACTTGCAGAGAACTCTGACCTGTCAGAAATATGTTTCTGGTCCTGCTTTTAAGAGCTGCTCTTTGCCACTGGGCATTCAGAAAGTAAAATACTCACACAAGGCATTTGTTTAAAATGTTTCCTACTGAGCCCACATTAGAATTGCTTTGGGCCTTTGGCCTTATTTTAAGAAACATTTTCTTCCCATTATTCTTTGGTCCTCCACTTAAATAATAGAAATGTTATTAATGCTATAAGCAGCAATTTACAACCTTATGAATGCTTCTGAACAAATTTTAAACACATGACTCTTATAGATCATCTTCTCTGTTGCCCCAGTAAAGCCTTATCATTTGCACCAATGATTTATGCACAAAAGCAGAATTTTTCTTCAATGAAGTCAAACTTTATTCAGGGTGTTATGTGGTTTTTAAAATTTTTACGTAGTAAGATTTACTCTGTGTATTTTATGGGGAATTTCATTTCAAAAATTTTAACTATTCTATTTTTTTTTTGCAATCTTTTAGTGTAATGGCATTTATTATAAAAAGTCTTCTCAAAATGTTTACCAGGAAAATAAGGCAGTTTACAATCAGAATAGTTGACCTTTTGATATTCTAAGTCATAATTTACTTTGCATAAGCCTGCGATCGGTTCTCTTTATTCATATTCAGCCTGAATTCAATTTCAAGTACCTGCTTCAGTAATGCTACAGTTACTTTATACATTTGTTTTGTCATGCAGCATGCAGCCTTGGTGGTCATGATACAACCTGTATTTGTGTACCACTTTTTTTCTCATGTTAAAAACCTTTAATTACAACATGTAATTCAAATCACAGCCATGAAAAGATTTTGCAGCCATATTGTAAAACCGCCATGGTGATCATACTGCATTTTCACTAGTTTCAATCTGGAGTAAACCTAAAGTGAAATCTGCCAGCTCCAAACCAAGACTCATGGTGACTTTCAATTGCTTTCTGCTTCACTCCTCACTCGCTGAAGATCTGCTGTATTGGACTGCTTTAAGTAATGAACAACGTGTGGATGCAATAACAACTGGACATGGTTGTATGTAATATGAATCTTAAAAATTCAATACATTGTGTGTTGTAATAGACATACTTAATTCACTCATGTGAAGTAAACATTCTCTGAATTTTGGGGCCTGCAATCTTTTGTTGCTTCTGTGTGAACCATCATGGTTCCTAACTGCCGTTATGTTTTGGCCACAACTGTCTCCTAAGTCTTCAATTAATACTTGATTTAATGGAAACTCTGTGAAGCCCAGCCTCCAAGGGATTGTAACTTGGGTGAAAAATTCATGGGATAAAGTCACTGACAGCTGTGTTTCCTATGCCCTGTGAGCAGGCTACATGGATGAGATGTGCACATTTTAAGAGAGCTCTACTGCTGGACCTGAGAGGCTGGGGCCAATATTTCCATAGAAATGGAATTTCAAGACATTCAGTCCATAATGTGGGGTTTGGAGAACTATAATAGTGTTCTAGAAAAAGGTGACAAGACTGTATTTGAACAAATACGGATTTTTGTATATGAAAAAAATAAGATTACCCTGAAAAATAAGTCCTGGTGCATCTTTTGGAGCAAAATTTAAAGTAAGAGCTGGTCTTATTTTCAGGGAATAATATTTTTGAACTCTAGTTCACCCAACAGGGTCATCATGGGCAGCTGAGTTACTGCACCTGAATGAATAATATTTTCATGGTATGAGATGACCCAAGATAGCTTGGGCAGGGCATATGAATGAGTACCCTCTACAGTGGTCAAGCAAATGGCAGACGTGCAGGCCCTTTAACATCTGCTTTCTGCCACCTTCTCTCTTCCAATAGTCATGACTGATGTCTGAGTGTTCACTGTGGGAGCAGCACTTTGGGTGCAGTAACTCAGCTGTCTATGGTGACCCTATTGGTGAGCTAGAGTTTGATTCTTTTGTCCCTCAAAGGCCACCAGCTTGGTGCTACTAGGAGGTGGTGGAGCCCTCAGGAGTTGGAATCTAGTGAAAGGTCTCCAGTCACTGGGCAGAACCCCCTGAAGGGGACAGCAGGATCTCACACCCTTCTTCTTCTCTTCCCAGCCATGAGGTGAGTAGCTTTGTTCTGCTATGTGTCACCCCACACCCTGGCCCATGATATGCTGCCAGCAGCCTATGCCAGTGGGCCAACCGGTCACAGAGTAGAACTTCCAGAATTGAACCACAATAAACATTTTGTCTTTTTAAGTTGATTACTTCAAGTATTTGTTACAGTAGTAGAAAACTGAATACCAGAGTGGAGCTGTGCTATACACTATATTTCAGAGGGGAATTAACTAGAGGAACAGAGATACCAGGAGACTGACATAAATCAAATGCCTTCACGTAGAAACACAACAGGTGCTCAATGCTGAGGCTATACCGTGACTTCCGACTTCAGTGTTCCTTTGCCCAGCCCTGGGTGTTTTATGTTTTGCTTATTATATGAAGGATTTTTAAATGATTTTCATGTATAAGTGGTCCATATTTATTGTGTTATATATTTCTCAGATTACTTCTATGAAGCATGGGCTCCCCAGCTTCCAAGCCTGGGAGTCACACCAACAGCACTCCTGAGTCTCCACAGCAGATAGAAACTGTCAGTTGCCATAATTACATGATTCAATGTCTAATGATAAGTTTCTTCCTATATGCCAACAGGAAATATATATACACATACATGTATGTAATTTATACACATTCAGAGGCATTCATAGAAACCTGTTCACACAGAGACAAAGCAGATATATATCTACTATACAGAAATTTATTAGAGAAATCCCTGATTAACATGGCTAGGATAGAGAACAGGGCACCCTCATTAGAAAAAAAGAGAACTGACCATGAGTGCATGGTGATATCAAAGAAAAACAAGCTTCTCTGTGGTAAGCTCCTAGAATTTTGAAGTTATTACAGAAGATAGTGCATTCTGATCAAACTGTCAAAGCAACTACAGAAATATACCTGTCGGGAAATACCACTCAGGAAAAATGCATATAAATTTTATTAATATAAATTTATAATTATAATATTTAATAATAATAATTACTTGATTCATAGTAAATGAAAGAAATATGTTTCTCTTACTCTTAAAATTTCATGTGTTCATTGTAAAATTCAAGTGTGAGTTATTTGATAATGTGAATTTAAAGAAAGTTGAATATCCAAAATAAAAAGAGAAGTAATTTTGTTGTTAAATAAAAATGAACTACAGTTGATATGAGATTATTTTATGTTAAAAGGGCTTATCTAGTTTACATGTGTTTCATGGAAGATCTTTTAAATTTTGTAAAAAGTTTGTTCAGGATTCGTATAAAGCAAATGCTATTATAAAATTGTTTTGACT